GTGTTTGTGCAGTTATGACCGGGTTGGGAACATAAGGGGCATCGGTCAGTGGAGCGGCAGTGTTTGAAAGGATGTCCAAATCGCCAACAGTTTTGACACTGACGGGGAGGAGGTTGGTATGGTCGAACAGGGAGGGATCGTCCACCAATGTAGATACGGGAAGGTCATGTGTACTAAAAGTAATTTTGGCAATGTTGGTGGGTTTCTTTCGGTGATCTCTAAGAGGAATGGAGTAGCAATGTACTGATTTCATGCCTCGGTCTCTGAGGCATTCGAGTAAGTCTTCTCCACAATCTGACCAATCTCTGGTATCGACTGGGTAGTTTGCTGGGGAGATAGAGACAGTTCCGGTACAAGTATTGAGTTGGATGAGGTTCTCCAGGAATGGGGTTGCCAGTGATCAGTTAGATTTGATAATGCTATAGCTTCAGTTTCAGATGGGGTGTTTGATGAGGAAGGTTGTAGGGGTAGAAGTGATGAAGTTGAGGAAGTTGGGAGAGTAGGAATGTCTTTTGGAGATTGAGTCTCGGCTTGGGTGGGTAATGCACTAGTAGGCACGACAACAACGGGTAAGGGATTGGGGGGAGGGGGGGGGAGAAGGGACGGAAACGAAAGAGCTGGAGGAAGAAAAGACCCTGCAAAATTAGTTGAGTCGAGGGCTGAGGTCCAAGGTAGGGGAGATCCATGCATTGGGTACCTTTTCCTGTCTCCTACCTCCCCACCCCCCACCATAACAACGGGAAAGGGATTGAGGGGGAGGGAGTCAGAAGGGGATGAAGAGAAGAAAAAGGGAAGGGGAATAGTGATCATGCACAACTAGTTGAGGCGAGGGCCGAGGTCCAAGGCAGGGGCTCTAGCTGGCCTCAGACTCCGTCTCCGAAACACCCTACGACAACTTAAACGATTGGAGAGGATGTATTTTTCTATTTTTTATTCTATTTACACTGATATACTAGTTTTTTTTCCTATTTTATCTGATATGTGTTTTAACATTAACGTTGTGTAGTCCACTGCACTAAGATGAGTGATGATGCATAAGGCGACCAAATTACATACTAGTGTATCAACGAAACTGAGTTTTTAGGTTAACAGATCAACCTAAAAACTCATAGGTATTCAAAGGGAATTATTTGGGTTTGAAAGAAAACCTTGTAAATTTTGTAGTATATTAAGAGAATACATATAAAAACTTTGTAAACAATATCCATTAAAACATGGAATATTTAGCACTTAAAAATACATAACTTTTTTTTTGTGTTTTATCACAATAAAATATCTTAAAACTGGAACTTTAAACCTCTAAAAGAATAAAAACGATCCTCAAAACACACAATTAAATATCATAAAATGAAAAAAAAGAAAACCTCACTTTGGTATACACACCGAACACATTATTTTGTTCATGTAAACACCCGAATTTTTGGAACTTTTCCCAGTTTCTTGATCAGCGGAGTTTTCTTCATATTTACAATATTTTCTACACTACAACCTTCCTTATATTGAAGCCAGAAGGATCTTCAACAGAAGTCTACTCACTAGAAGGCGGGTTATCTCCAACAGTGAAGTATTCTCTTTTTGGAAGCCTGGACCACCACCAACAGTGAAACAGTCTCCTTATTGAAGGCTGGACCACCTCAACAGTGAAATATTTTCTTTACTTTAAAAGACTATTTTTGCAGTGAAATATTTTCTTTATGGAATCCAAGACCACCTCAGTGAAATATTTCTTTACTTTAAAAGACTACTTTTGCAGTTAAATATTTTCTTTACTGAAGCCTGGACCACCTCAACACTGAAATATTTTCTTTACTGAAGCCTGGACCACCTCAACAGTGAAACATTTTCTTTACTGAAGCCTAGACCACCTCAACAGTGAAACATTTCTTTACTGAAGCCTAGACCACCTCAACACAGTTTTTTTCTTTACTGAAGCCTAGGTGAAACAACTGAAACCACCTCAACACTGAAACGACGCCCTTCTTGAAGCCAGGACTATCTTCATCACTTAAATTTCCTCCAGTCTCAAACCCGCACCCACCTCCAACACGCGAAGAAATGTTCTCCCTGAAACCTCGACAATGAAGCTCATCTCCCTCTTTTATCGCCGAACGAAGACTGGGCGCACTCGACCGTCGCCTTTCCTTTAGCTGCCTCCGTCCAAGATGAAATTGGGCCTCTGTCCCTGTGTGAAAGACGACGACGACGACTGATGACGAACGATGATGATGACGATGATGACGAACGATGACGATGGACGAAGATGATGACGATGACGAAGGTGATGACGATGACGAAGGTGGTGGTGATGACGAAGTGGTGGTGATGACGATGACGAAGGTGGTGATGACGATGACGAATGACGATGACGAAGGTGAATGACGATGACGAAGGTGATGATGACGAAGGTGATGACGATCGAACGACGATGGCGATAACAACGCCATATACGCATGCACAGCTCCTATCACAGGGACGGTGACTTTGGTTGTTGATGGGGCCTGGGTAGCGGTGGTGTTCGCTGGCGGCATAGCAGTGGTGTTTGATAGCAGTGGTGTTTGCTGGCGGCATAGCAGTATAGCAGTGGTGTTTGCTGGCGCATAGCAGTGTTTGCTGGCGGCATAGCAGTGGTGTTTGCTGGCGGCATAGCAGTGGTGTTCGGCATAGCAGTGGTGTTTGCATAGCAGTGGTGTTTGCATAGCAGTATTATAGCAGTGGTGTTATAGCATAGCAGTGGTGTTCACATAGCAGTGGTGTTTGCTGGGCTAGCAGTGGTGTTTGCTGGCATAGCAGTATCGCTGGCGGCATAGCAGTGGTGTTTTGCTGGCGGCATATAGCAGTGGTGTTTGCTGGCGGCATAGCATATAGCATTGGTGTTTGCTGGCGGCATAGCGGTGGTGTTCGCTGGCGGCATAGCAGTGGTGTTCGCTGGCGGCATAGCATAGCGCTGGCGCATAGCGGTGGTGGCTGTTAGCATGATAGCAGTATAGCAGTGGTGTTCGCTGTCGGCATAGCAGTGGTGTTCGCAGTGGTGTTCATAGCAGTGGTGTTCGCTGCGGCATAGCATGTTTGCTGGCGGCATAGCAGAGGTGTTCGCTGGCGGCATAGCAGTGGTGTTTGCTGGCGGATAGCAGTGGTGTTCGCTGGGCATAGCAGTGGTGTTCGCTGGCGGCATAGCAGTGGTGTTCGCTGGCGGCATAGCAGTGGTGTTCGCTGGCGGCATAGCAGTGGTGTTCGCTGGCGGCATAGCAGTGGCGTTTGCTGGCGCATAGCAGTGGTGCTTAGCAGTGGTGTTTGCTGGCGGCATGCATAGCAGTGGTGTTCGCTGGCGGCATAGCAGTGGTGTTTGCAGCAGTGGTGTTGCTGGCGGCAGCAGTGGTGTTTGCTGGCGGCATAGCAGTGGTGTTTGCTGGCGGCATAGCAGTGGTAGCAGTGGTTTTGCTGCGGCATAGCAGTGGATAGCAGTGGTGTTTGCTGGCGGCATAGCAGTGGTGTTTGCTGGCGATAGCAGTGTGTTTGCTGGCGGCATAGCAGTGGTGTTTGCTGCGGCATAGCAGTGGTGTTTGCTGGCGGCATAGCAGTGGTGTTTTGCTGCGGCATAGCAGTGGTGTTTGCTGGCAGTATAGCAGTGGTGTTTGCTGGCGGCATAGCAGTGGTGTTTGCTGGCGGCATAGCAGTGGTGTTTGCTGGCGGCATAGCAGTGTGTATAGCTATAGCAGTGGTGTTCGCTGGCGGCATAGCAGTGGTGTTCGCTGGCGGCATAGCAGATAGATGGCATAGCGGTGGCGTCTGTTGATGGCATAGCGGTGGCGTCTGTTGATGACATTGGCGTCTGTTGGTGACATAGCGGTGGCGTCTGTTGATGAGCGGTGGCGTCTGTTGGTGGCATAGCAGTGGCGTCTGTTGATGGCATAGCAGTGGCATCTGTTGATGACATAGCGGTGGCATCTGTTGATGGCATAGCGGTGGCATCTGTTGGTGGCATAGCAGTGGCGTCTGTTGGTGGCATAGCAGTGGCGTCTGTTGGTGGCATAGCAGTGGCGTCTGTTGATGACATAGCGGTGGCATCTGTTGATGGCATAGCGGTGGTATCTGTTGGTGGCATAGCAGTGGCGGTGGCATGCAGTGGGTCTGTTGGGCATAGCAGTGGCATCTGTTAATGGCGCAGTGGTATCTGTTGATGCATAGCGGTGGCGTCTGTTGATAGCATAGCAGTAGCGTCTGTTGATGGCATAGCAGTGGCGTCTGTTGATGGCATAGCGGTGGCGTCTGTTGATGGCATAGCAGTGGTATCTGTTGATGGCATAGCAGTGGCATCTGTTGATGGCATAGCGGTGGCGTCTGTTGATAGCATAGCAGTAGCGTCTGTTAATGGCATAGCAGTGGCGTCTGTTGGGGGCATAGCAGTGGCGTCTGTTGCATAGCAGTGGCATCTGTTGATGGCATAGCGGTGGCGTCTGTTGATAGCATAGCAGTAGCGTCTGTTAATGGGCAGTGGCGTCTGTTGGGGCATAGCAGTGGCATCTGTTGATGGCATAGCGGTGGCGTCTGTGATAGCATAGCAGTAGCGTCTGTTACATAGCAGTGGTCATAGCAGTGGCGTCTGTTGGTGGCATAGCAGTGGCGTCTGTTGATGGCATAGCAGTGGTGTTCGCTGGCGGCATAGCGGTGATGTTTCCTTGTGGCACGGCGGTGGTGCTTGGGTGTAAGGTGGTCGCCGTGGTTGCTTGTGGCTCGACTGTTGTATCAGTATCATTTCCCATTAAGAAACTGATTCTCTGAGGCAGCGGTACGTTCACTTCTGAAATGACATATGGACCATCATTACCACGACTGTCAACTGTTCAACAAAAGTGCAATTCCATATTTCATGCATCTTACTCATCTTAAAATTTCTCCACTTCTAGACAAGGGAAAAAGAGCACTGTAAATCCAGAAGAAAGTGACACCAGGTTCACCGGGTCAAGTTAACCGTGACACTTACGCGCATGAAAATCTGGCAATACTGCCAACTTGGCTGCTTCCATCACCTGTTCTTCTGGCGTTGGCATTGACAGCGCTGAGGGCAAGGGGGTTAGGCATCGTCAGTGCTTTTGTCTTTGGCGTCTTTCAAGCAGAAGAGGAAGGGGCACAGAGATGAAGAAGAGGAAGGGGCACAGAGATGAAGAAGAGGAAGGGGCACAGAGATGAAGAAGAGGGGCACAGAGATGAAGAAGAGGAAGGGCACACAGATGAAGCAGAGGAAGGGGCACAGAGATGAAGAGGAAGGGCACAGAGATGAAGAAGAGGAAGGGGCAAGATGAAGAAGAGGAAGGGGCACAGATGAAGAAGAGAAGGGGCAGAGATGAAGAAGAGGAAGGGGCACAGAGGTGAAGAAGAGGAAGACGCACACAGATGAAGCAGACACAGAGATGCACAGAGATGAAGAAGAGGAAGGGGCAAGAGATGAAGAGGAGGAAGGGGACAGAGATGAAGAGGAGGAAGGGGCACAGAGATGAAGAAGAGGAAGCACACACAGAGATGAAGAAGAGGAAGGGGCACAGATGAAGATGAGCACAGAGATGAAGAAGAGGAAGGGGCACAGAGATGAAGAAGAGAAGGGGCACAGATGAAGAAGAGGAAGGGGCACAGAGATGAAGCACAGAGATGAAGACACAGAGATGAAGAAGAGGAAGGGGCACAGAGATGAAGAAGAGGAAGGGGCACAGAGATGAAGAAGAGGAAGGGGCACACAGAGATGAGAAGAGAAGGGGCACAGAGATGAAGAAGAGGAAGGGGCACACAGATGAAGAAGAGGAAGGGGCACACACGGGCAGAGGAGCAAGGGGCACACACGGGCACAGGAGGAAGGGACACAGATGAAGATGAAGAAGAGGAGGAAGGGACAGATGAAGAAGAGGAGGAAGGTGAAGAGGAGGAGAAAGGGGCACATGAAGAAGCAAAAGAGGAGGAAGGGGCACATGGAGAAGCAAGAGAGAGTGGATGGAAGACACTACAAAAGGTAAGACAGAGATTGGTAGAAACTACAATGTAAAGAGGTAGGGAGCAAAGTTCAAAAAGAAAAAGAGTAAAAAATGAGATTGGAAGACGTTAAAAGATGGGAATTAAAACATACTAGAATAAAATGCAAGGGTTAGAGGGAGAAAATAGATAAAGAAATAGAGGAAAGGTGGAGCCTAAGCGAAATACACAAGACAGGACAGAAAAAAGTGAAAGAATCGAGGAAGAGAGAAACATAATAAAAAGATCACAAGGAATCATAATAAATAATAATGATAAATAATAAATAATAGATAAATAATAGAAAAATAGATAAATAATGATAAATAATAAATAAAAGATCACAAGAAAAATATATAATGATAAACAAGACTTTTCCTCCTTTTTTTTTTTCTTCCTAGTAATATATGAACTCATAAATCTTTCAAGTAATTACCTTAACACATGTTCGTTCACGAGCACATGGATTTAATCAAGTGAAAATCTTTATAATTAATACGATATGAAACGAAATCATGTTTTCAATAGGAACTTGGTGCTATTATTTGAATATTGATACGATGACAGTTACCTATATGGCTATTTAATTAACTTCAATGTCAATATCAATAGTTTGAAGGATAAAAAAATGAAGCTAGCGGTCATACTTTTTTATTATTAAATTACTATACATCTTAGTTATTCACGCATGAACAAATATAGCTTTTAAAAACTGTAACAATGTAAAGCTTAACAAAAAATAAAACTAACAACAAGAAAAAAATACATGTACATTTAACGAAAAACAATAACAAACAAAAACTTAAAAGCATAAAAACGAGACAATCAACAAAGAGAGTAAGGAATGAAGAGTAAGGAATGAGAGAGAGAGAGAGAGAGAGAGAGAGAGAGAGGAGAGAGAGAGAGAGAGAGAGAGAGAGAGAGAGAGAGAGAGAGAGAGAGAGAGAGAGAGAGAGAGAGAGAGAGAGAAGAGAGAGAAAGAAAGAGAGAAAGAAGAAGAAGAGAGAGAAAGAAGAAGAAAGAATAAGAAAAAAGAAAGAACAAATAAAGAAAGAGAAAGAAAGAACAAATAAAGAAAGAGAAAGAAAGAACAAATAAAGAAAGAGAAAGAACAAACAAATAAAGAAAAAAGAAAAAAAAAAACAAAAAAATCACAGCGCGTCGTCCATCTAACTGAAGATTTTCCAAAAGGACTTACTCTCGCTCGTACAGATGACGATGGCAGCGATGAAGAAGACGATGAAGCCGAGGGCCATGATGACGAGGCCGCAACTGCCCTCCCTCATGACGGTCATGCAGCATGGGGCAAAGGGCCGTTTGTATCGAGACCACTCTGCAATAAAATAGTTTTATGAGACACTGCATACAGAGTAGATGGATTTATGTATGTGCAAGTACCTAAGTTAATTTTAGATATATAAATAAATCAATAAATAGATAGATATATGTGTGTGTGTGTGTGTGTGTTCACATATGCTCGTTCACATTTAGTCGTGTACTGTGAATTGAATTGAAGCTTCCAATCTGTCTTCACCTATACAAAAAGTGCGGTATTAAGCTGATTTTCGAAACAGATTTGACAAGTTTTGACCGTGTTTGTACCTGGATGTATATTAACAGCCATGTATGCATGTAAATCCAAGTAAACATATACATGTACAGTGGCGTGCTGGGGAGGGGTGCAAAAAGTTGAAATGGCGCCCCTGTCCCTGGTACCTTTAAATTTTTGTAGGGGTAGCTTGTTTTATTTACCATCCAGTCATAACATTAGAATCGAAGTTTAGCTGTGTTGATGGAAAGAGTTAAACAACCAATTAACTTGAATTATCATTAAAAGCAAGGAGAAAAAGTAACATTATAAAGGTTGCTCCTTATCAAATTATGATCAATTTGAGATTTGACTGTCGATTTCCATCATCAATCAATATATTGAGTTTGTTTAATTGAAATCATATTTTCTTGAGAATTGTTGGTTCGTCCTTAGAAAAATTATCTTTATTTACTAACGAATACCTCAGGCACCTTCGACAACACACATACATGTTAGCATTCATTTTGGTGCCTGCCAGCATGCCACTATACATGCGTATGTGCACCAGCAGGTTGAAGTCTTTGTTCAGCAAGTGTTTTTACTTCTCAAAAAGCTCTTGATTTCCTATCTTCTCTTTCTTTCTTAGCTGCGTTTTGACCTGCACTGGAGCCATTGGTGGTTTAATTGTCGATATTTTTTCAGTGTGGCTTTTTGTATGACTTAGCATAATAATAATAACTGCCAGAATAACCAACCACTTTTGACAACCCTATAATCAATCTCCCGGTCTTATCACCTCTTTGGCCAGTGTCATAAATTTACCCTTATCAGGGTGTTTGCGTTATTCTTATGAATCAAGCAAATGACCATGTGTTACTTTAATGTGGGACATCAAAAATATATATATAATTCCAGCATGTTAAATTTCTAGTTAGTGATACATGAAAATGAACTAATTGCAGTTTTTTCATTATCTATCTATCTACCCACCTATATATATATATATATATATATATATATATATATATATATATATATATATATATATATATATATATATATATATATATATATATATATATATATATATATATATATATATATATATATATATACTGTATATATAAATACCGAATAAGTCGTTTTTCACATTTTAAAACGAAAAAAGTAGAAAAATAATATTTTACATATTCTAGAAAACGAAAGTCAAATTCGAAATTCTTTATGTCTTCTAAGGATTAATCTATGAAGGATTACAGAAACAGTAAATGACATAATAAGGTATTTAGTTCTGCAGCAAGGTATATCGGAAAGTGTTGGGGGTGGGGGGATCACTCCCCATCAGGCTTACAAAACACAGTCGGCAGTATTACTAGCAAATTGATTAAGTAATTAAGAAAATATGCAAGGCCAAAGGATTTACTCCACCTCCACTTATATGATACGGGTTATCCTGCCTGTAATAGAACGTTCATCCTTATCACCTGTGTGCTGAAAATTGCCCTAAGGTTTCACGTAACGATTGCCACATACAAGGAAGTATTTACAGGTTACATAAGGGTTAAAATCTATTCAGATATATAATCTGCCTTTGGTTTGCTATCTCCCTCTTTAACTAAGAATTTGACAATGCAAAGTTAGTTTTAAATATTAAGGCCATCTCCGCGGTAGAGGTGTCATAGCTCCGTGGTAAAGCACTTATCTTAAAATTGCAAGGTCTTGTGTTCGCACCCTGTCATCCCTGTCAGTCGACAGCTATGAGTGATTACTGGTATGGTGACAACATACTGGGGTTAAAGTCAGGGTGGAAAGGAACTTGTCATGGTAACGCATCATCCCACAGCTTAATACCCACATTTCTCTACAGCATATCCCTTATGTCCACTAAGATATGGGACCAACTCTTGACTTGGAATTTTATGACGAAGTTAAGTTTTATAGTTTGATTATTTCATAATCATAAAACAAAAATTATTACTTCCCGAGCTAGCTGACATTATGAACAGAAGACAGTGTAGAAAAAGAAAATACCATTAAACCCTCAAATCCCTGAACCAGAGAAATATTTGTGCTTAAGTTCATTAAAATCATATAATAACGATGATGAAATAATGACATTGTAATTGGTTTCCATTAAAAAAGTTGGCAAGGAAAGACAATATCGTACCTTTCACCTCATGGGGAGAATAAGAGTAGTGGCTGCCACTCTCGGGAGGGTACCTGTCATCGTCGTCAGAAACTGTAATTCTGTGGAAAGAGTGGGGAGTGAAAGCATGAAAGTGTTGACCAATTAGACGTTTGAATAAAGAGAAAAAATGTATCTGGATTGTTTGTGTTGGGAAGAGGGGTCAGCTTGTCAGAATAAGGCACTCAGGGTAGCTCTGAGCAAGACGTACGGGATAGTTCTGACGATAGTGTGCAAGATAGTTTAAAACCACAATAAGAAATAAAAAATTATGACGTTTTGGACTTGTCAAGAGTCCACCAGAAGGACAAGCAACCGAAATGGACCACTGCAATTCAGTTGTCTGCCTGAGGAACTCTCGAGATGGAAACCACAATTTCAGTTCTTATTGTGGCCGGTTTTCTTTTCATCTTTCTGTATATGTAACTGTGTGTTTGTGATAACATACTGGATAGTTCTGAGGATATACAGGATAGTTGAATAATAATGTAGGGTTACTGCCAGCTGTCAGGAAGAGGTACAGGACAGTTAGAATGAAGATAAATAGGATTTCTGGAACTTTTCAAGAGATCTGGGACAGTCATAAACAAGTACTCAAGTCCTCTACAGCTGCATTCATACCAGGACACATCACACGTGGCACAATTTCAGGCCAAGGTTACTTAAGGTGTGTGCCAGGCTGCTTTCACTCAGTTCACAAGATGCACCATCGGAGGATGACAAGGTTATTGTTGTTTATAGGACAATTGTCTTTAACCTTGGAGCAGTAAGGTGAACTTTGGAGCAGAAAGTGAAACAGACGTTCCAATACCCCATTCCCTCTGTCCAGGATGCAGGAGGGTAAATTTAGGGTGACCTCCGAGCTAAAACTACTGAACAGCAGTGTGTGGCCGACTCCTGCACCCTGCAGCACGACATACTTCCCCCAGGTTGGGTCTCGGGTCCACAGCTGGTCCTTGCACCTCACCATCAGCAGCTTCTGGAAGACTAATGCCAAGACCTGTTTGGTTGACAAGGACACCTCACGGCTCACCTATTGGACCGCAGGCTCTCCTCGCTCCTGGGTAGCTGGCACAGCTTGAGAATACTTAAGCTCCAACGCCCATGCTTCCCCATTGGTCTACCCACATGACCCAGCACCCCAGCCATACCTGTGGGAACTTACACCCACCCCACTCACTCCACAAAGAGATAATATAGACCAGTCAAGTGGTGGATGCAAATCCTTTGCCATACTGGTGACCACCAGAGTGACATGAACGCAGCTTATCGCTCGCTCACTTAGCTCCCTCGCTGGAACCTGCAAACTCTGCATACTTCCTCCAGGTTGGCAGTCTACAGCCGGTCCTTGCACCTCACCATCAGCAGCTTCTGGAAGACTAATGCCGAGACCTGATTGGTTGACACTGACACCTCACCTATTGGATCGCAGGCTCTCCTCACTCCCAGGTAGCTGGCACAGCTTGAGAGTACTTAAACTCCAACGCCCGGCCTATCATCACTTCAATCCTCCAACTGAGCCTGACAACAGCAGCAGCAACAGTAGGCCTACCCAGGCGTGGTGGAATATATTGCTAAAATTTCTGACTTATAAGGAGATGCAAGGTAGTCCAAAGTAATGGAGATGATTCATAACCATTTCCTCAAGAACTCAAAAAATGGATAACTGGATAAATTGCTAAGATGTGACTTATAAGGAGATGCATCCAAAGTAATTGAGATGATTATAAATTCATCATCAAATGTAATATTAAAAAAAAAAAAGAACTAAAAAAAAAAAATAAAAAAAAAATTAAAACACAGTGAAAATTGTGCAATTCAAACTTTCAGCAGCTAATACCATCGGTAAAATAATACACATCCTTTACTCAATTTACGGGGAAATTTTTCAAATCAGACTTTCGACGTCTGTAAACTCATGAAGGCCTACCTGTTCGGAGTGCCACCTGACAGGTTATCGAAGTTCAAGGCACACGGAAACACGCTGTCATTTCCGCTGCCACCACTGGGCCTGATGACGAAGAACAGGTATAGGATAAAAAAAAGTGTCTTAATACTTTTAAACTCGAAGGAAATAATAATAATGATAATTATAATGATAAAATAAAAAAAACCAAATTAAAAAAAAAATCTAAAAAAAACATGATTAAAAAAGAAAAAAATGAAAAAGAAAGGAAAGAATGAAGAGAAAAATGAAACAAATTTGTTAAATATAAAATGCAGAGAGAAACGAAATAAGCAGGCAGTTTTGAAAGTACTTGCATAGTTTGAACAGATCAATGCGAAAGCAATATTTATTTTGCTATAAATATTTGCACCTAGTTTAGAGAGAGAGAGGGGGGAGGAGGAGAGAGATAGGGAGAGAGAGAGAGAGGGAGAGGAAGAGAGAGAGGAGAGAGAGAGAGAGAGAGAGAGAGAGAGAGAGAGAGAGAGAGGGAGAGAGAGAGAGAGAGAGGAGAGAGAGAGAAGAGAAAGAAAAAGAGAGAAAAAAATAAAACTACCAAATAACCAGAGACGGCTTCCTCGGTCTCTCTCGTCATCCCGCTGAAAATATAGATGTAGAATAAATAATAAAATTTACATTAGTCTGGTTCTTTGGACATTGTTTCACTCTTCATCTCGCTCTGCCCCCCCCCCCCCTCTCTCTCTCTCTCTCTCTCTCTCATTCTTCTCTCTCTCCCCCTCGTCCTCTCCTTACCCTCCCACCCTCCCTCCCTCTCTCTTCCCCCTTCCCTTAGACCATGTCACCCTTGAATTTCTGACGAACTGATGACGGACCTGACCGACCGACCGACTGACTGAATACTTACGCGAATCGACTGTAATAACAGGTGTGACGTGGGCTTTCATGCTTGGAGAGGCCTGAAAAGAAAAAAAAAATGTGGAAATGGATGAATAGATAGAAAATAATATATGAAGATTAAATAAACTGATGAGAAATGAAGAAGAAATTAAATGGAGGGAATGAATGGATAGATAGGGAATCGATTAATAATATACAGTTCAAGAATCAAATTATTCCCTTTCAATTACCAATCCCTCCTATGTCGCCAGGTCCCTTCGCAAAAATCCAGTCCCGTCCAAGTCGCCAGGTCCCTGCCAAGTCGCAGGTCCCTGCCAATCGCATGCCTTATGCCAATCGCAGGTCCCTGCCAAGTCTGCCAGGTCCCTTGCCAAAGTCGCCAGAGTCCTGCCACAGTCGCCAGGTCCCTGCCCAAGTACGCCCAGGCCCTTGCCAAGTCGCCAGAGTCCCTTGCCAAGCGCCAGGGGTCACCTTCCAAGTCGCCAGGCAGCACTTGCCAAGTCGCCAGGTCCCCTTGCAAATCGCAGGAATGCATACCCTTGCCAATATGTGCCACAGTCCCCTTTGTCCATCCGCCAGCTATCCCTTGCCAAAAGAGTCCGCAGGTGCCCCTTGCAAAAGTATCCGCCAGCGGGGGAGTCCTTCCACGGTCGCCACATTCCCTTCCAAGTTTGCCAAGGTCAGCCCTTGCCAAGTCGCTCAGTCCCTTGCCAATCGCCAGTTCCCTTGCCCATAGTTCGCCAGGATCCCCTTTGCCAAGTCGCCACGTTCCCTGCCAAGTCGCCATGTCCCTTGCCCAAGTCCCATGTCTCCCCGGCCCAAGTCCCATGCGTCCTGCCCAATGCCCAGGATCCCTGCCCAAGTCGCAGGTCCCTGCCAACTCATCAGCACTACTACATCATACATACAGAGCGCCCCGCGCAGCTCTCACCGAACCTCCTGCACAACTAGAGATGACACATAGGTCCACTGCCAAGTCGCCATCGTCCCTTGCCAAGTCGCCAGGTTCCCTTCCAAGCGCCATCCCATTGCCAAGCGCCATCCCCTGCCCGAAGTCCCGCCACGTCCCTGCCAAGTCGCCAGTCCTTGCCAAGTCGCCAGGTCCTTGCCAATCGCCATGGTCCCCTTGCCAAGTCGCCAGGTCCCTTGCCAAGTCGCCAGTCCCTTGCCAAGTCGCCAGTCCCTTAGCCAAGTCCCATCCCTTGCCAATCGCCAGTCACCTTGCCAATCGCCAGTCCCTGCCAAGTCCCAGTCCCTTGCCAAGTCCCAGGTCCCTTGCAAGTCGCCAGGTCCCTTGCCAATCCCAGGTCCCTCCAAGTCGCCCAGGTCCCTTGCCAAGTCGCCAGTCCCTTCCAAGTCGCCACGTCCCTTCCAATCGCCAGGTCCCTTGCCAAGTCGCCAGGTCCCTTGCCAAAGCTCGCATCCCTTGCCAAGTCGCCAGGCCTGCCAAAGTCGGTCCCGCCAGTCCCTACCAAGCCAAGTCATCGTCTATATGCCAAAGTTTCATCCGTCAACCATTCGTCATCTTCCAAATTATGAAATCATTTTTAAAAAATATTTCCAAGTCATTTACCAAGTTACCCTAACAACTCACCAAGCCGTCAAGTTACCGAGTCCCTCCCATCGAACCCATAAGTTACCCTAACAACTCGCCCAAGTTATAAAGTTGACGAAGTCCCTCCCATGAAGTCGATCCCCTCACTTACGTCACCATAAGCACTGATGGGCGTTCCCACCGAGGCCACGGGCGGGGGCTCCGTCTCCGATTTCAAGGGGACCAAGCCAAGCATTTCAATGAAAGGATTTGAGTTGGGTTTCTGTGTCTGCTTCCTGCTTGATGCTCCTGCTTGCGCCCCCGAGGAGGTAGATGCTCCTGCTTGCGCCCACGAGGAGGTAGATGCTCCTGCTTGCGCCCACGAGGAGGTAGATGCTCCTGGTTGCGCCCCAGACGAGGAAGAGGCGCTTGCTTGCTCGGATTTGCCTTTGGTGGTTGGGGTGTCGGGGCAGTCCCAGCTGGGGTGGGTAGAGGGGGGAAGGGAAAAAAACGTTTAGAGGGGGATAAAGAGAACGTTTGAGTGGAAGGGGATATAGGGAGGAAAAATGTTTCAATGGAGGGGAATAAAGGGAGGGAAAAAACGTTTAAGCAGAGGGGATTAGAGAAAAACGTTTAAATGGATGAAAGGGAATGAGTGAAAGGGGATAAATGAATGGAAGGGGATAAAGAGAAAAAAAACGTTTAAAAGGAGGGGGGAAACGTTTAAATGGAGGGGAATAAGGGAAGGGGTAAAAACATTTAAGCAGAGGGGAATAAGGAAAAACGTTTATACAGGGGGATAAAGAAAAACATTTTTGAGAAATGAGAGTCGTATAAAGAAGAGGAAGAGGGATGAAAACAAAGAAAAAAGTTTAAAAAGAATATAAAAAGAGAAAAACGTTTAAATAGATGGGATAAAGACAAACGTTTCTGAGAAATGAGAATCACAT